AATGGTGAGTTAAATACTTCCTTGCTCTCTATGCTGTAAATATGATCTGTATGACTCTAAATGGACCATAATGCTGTATTGAAGAAGACTGAGAGATTGAGACCATAAACTCATGTTTACAATGTTTACTGAGGTAATAAATCAAGAGAGAAGTAGAGTCATTTCCTCATAGACTTCTATACAACCAGAGGAGTCGCCCCCTGGTGGACACTAGAGAGAATGCAGCTTTAACACATGAAGCTTCACTCTGCAGAACCGTGAGTTGCCGGCTGGGAGGAGATACATTCCTGCACAACATCCACCATCTCAGTCGTTTGATCAAACTTTGTTCAGCATAGTTAATCATTGCCTACAATGAGGCATCAGCTCGCACACACAGACTTTGTATTCATGAAGGGCCCTTTCCTGCTGATGCCCTGCCCAGGAATGTACAGCTGACCCTGCTCTCACTTCCACAGCCCAGCTGATCCCGGACACACACACACACACACACACACACCACAGAGCATGCTCAGTTGTGCCTCCGTGATGCAGAAGCAGTGCCGTGCTATCAGTTAACTACACTTCATTAATGCACAGACTTCAGTGTTGACGGGAGAAATTGATTTCCACTCCCACAGCGTCAAAAACACATTTATCTGGGTCAAAGGTGAGAGTAATAAAAAACAGAGAGTAAGAAACAAAGAGCTTCATGAATGTCTCAATTAGAAAACAATCAGACATGTACTCAACACCACGTTGTGGTTGTTCAAACTGTTAGTGAGTTTTCATAAAAATAATTATCCAGTTTTGTTGCCTGAACTCGTTCCGTAAGGCCATGAAGAAAAGAAACGGACAATTCATGTCCCTGTATTCGTAACCAATAGATTGCATTTTCATGACTATTTCACGAACTGCAGTGAGACTGTGTTGCATTATTAGCAAAGACATTTACAGTGGCTTGTGCTTGTGGCTTCAGTCATTAATGTCCCTTTATATACATCTAATGGGTTCACTGGGACTAACATTCAGGGGTCATGACAGACACGTACTGCGGTTACTAGCTTTAAGAAGCAGTCAAGGTGTCACTTGAGAGAGGAGGAAATGAAAATGCTGTGAAGACTAAAGAACTTGTTAGCATTGTCTAAGTCCAAGTTCAAAGCCAGAGCTAATAGCCTGAAACATTAGCTATCAATGCTAACTTTCTGAATTTTCCCAGGGTTCAACGCTACCTTTTGGTTGCCAAAGCTGAAATTACGATGACCATGATTGATTTTTGGGGTGCACATTACCCTTCTTTTTTTCTATGGACTTCTGTATTAAAACGTGGCAAAGAATCCGTTGCCAATCTCTGGAACTGTGGAGCAGGAAAGGGCCAAACAGAAGGACCACAGCAGGCTGCCTGCACATAAATATACCTGCACCCCTTCTGAACACTCCATCACCTGCAACTCCTCCGTCACACAACACGGCTGCAGGCTACACAGTTACAGCGGAGTGCAAGTCTAAAACAAAACACAATTAACAGAAGTTCTCAATCAAGTGAAAGTAATTTCACAGTCGGTAAAAACATTTTTTATGAGTTTCCAGCGTTTCCTGTTTGGTTACTGTTTTTTGGACAAAACAAGACGTTTGCAGACATGTGGTCGGCATTTTTTAAACTATTTTCTGATATTTCATATTAACACATAATTGATTATTGAAAAGTAATAACAAACAGACCACTCTGTAAATAATCTAATGAAAATAATTAGCTGTAGCCCTTGTAGAGTGAAGATTAGACCATGCTAAATATTGAAGGGAGCAAACATTAAATAAAGAACAACAACAAAGTGATACTGCAGTATGTGGTCTCGTGCATCTCCATTCCACATTAGTTGGTCAGCGATGCAGGTCGGAGTTCACGTCTTTTATTGGGGAACTTAAAAGCTGTGTACCAAACTGTAACTTTGTCTCCAGCATCCTCTAAGCACATCTAACAAACAGACACAGGCTGAGGTTGAATGTGCTCCCAGCCTCACTGACGTGACAAACGCGTCGCGGTGAAGCGAGACTCGTTTAAAGGCACAAGTCGGCCCCGTGGAGCGCGGCTGGAGGCAGTGCACCTGGCTGCTTCCCAGGGTTCTCTCTGAGTGTGTGTGTGAGTGTGTGAGTGTGTGTGTGTGTGTGTGTGTGTTGAAGGGGCTGCTGGCCCTTTAAAAGCTAAGATGGTGTCCTACAAGCTGCAGTTGTATGCCTTCCGTTTCCTCTCCTGCCTCTCAGAGATCACAGAGCATTTCAAATTGAACCTGAACTAACCTCGCGCGCGCACACACACACACACACACACACACAGGTCTCCGTACTGACAGTGTAAATGACATGTTTCGGATAATGCAACAATGTGGCAAAACTCTTCCCACTAATTGCAGAATAAGCTGCCGGTCTCCAGGGATACGCTGTTCTACGGACTGACGTTGATTCTTTGGCACATGTTGAGCTGACAGCTCTGCTTGTGTGCAGATAGACGTCCACACAGATAGATGCTTCTTTCTTTTGTTATTTCATTGACCAGGGCAGAGTCAATAACGTGCACTTACTTTCTTGTTACGGGTCTCCGTGTGCATCTCGGTTGCCGGAGCGGTGCAGCGGCGGAGGGGTGGAGCAGCAGGAGCAGGAGGGTGGGTCGCTTTGGGTGGGTAGCTCTATCAGAATACGAACTGGTGGAGGGAGAGAGAGGAGGGCTTGGTTTGGGGGGATGTGGGGGGGCTGGTTTCCACCTTTTACAGTGGAATTTTCGGGATATAGGAAACACGATCCCTGCCGCTTCCAGTGTTTCTTTTCAGTTCATATCCGCAGCGTCGAAGGCTCCCGTTGCTGCCCCCAAAAAACAGCCAGTCTCTCTCTCTGTGAGTGTGTCTCTCCCTCTCTCTCTGTCTCTCTCTCTGACGGCGGTGTTGTTGCCGTGTATTCAAGGGCTGGGCTCTCTCTCTCTGCCTTTTCCTCCTCCGCCTCTCCCTGCTTGTGACCCCACCCTGCGTCCCCACCCCTCATCTCTCCGTCAGTCAGGAGCTGCGCAGCCCTGCAGAGGAGCGGCGCGGAGCGCAGCTACCGGGCGACCCGAGCACCGGCTGCAGGCGGGCGGGCGAGCAGGAGGAGCAGAGGAGCCGCAGCAGAACCGACCACTAATAATGCATGGGGGAACATTTTTATTTCTTTTTTTAAATTGCACGCAAACGAGCTTTTCGCTCTGCGAGCATATGTGCACAGCCATCTATTAATGCTCCATGTTGCAGCGGCTTATTGCGCGGAGATGGTAGAACAGAAGCACCCATGTCACCTTACTGACGTCAGCCAGTAGGCTAATTGAGGACACTCAGGCTGGGTGGGGAGGGTGGGAGAGTATACATCCAGTAAGGCTTTGCAGCATTACATTTGATATGACAGCATGCACACAGCCAGCTCAGAGATATATATATATATATCTATATATATATATAGATATAGATATAGACATAGATATAGATATATATATATATAGATATAGATATATTTATGAAGGGAAGGAAGCAAAGTGTGATGATAGACGTGGTGTTATAACCACACCCATTGTAATAAAGCAAGGTGTGGTGCATGGAAATGTTTTTTTCTTCATCAGATATTTCACAAGATGGAATAATCCGGTGGCGGCTGGTCAACAGAGGGCGCTAGGGCGCCGCCCCACCTTGAGCCGCAACAAATACAATAAAATAAATAATAATAATAAACTATACAAATTGTCAATATTTGTGTTTTTGAAATATGGAATCACGACGTCAGTTTCTGATGACGGTGCTGATGATCACAGCTGGATCAGCTGTCAGTCGGCTTTAACAGCTGGAGAGACTTTAGATAAGTTAGTGTGTGTTCACATGATCACTGTACTTAATAACAGTAACTAATAACACTAATAACT